ACACACACACACACACACACACACACACACACACACACACACACACCTGGATTTTTTTCTGACATCCTTCAGAGTGATGTGGTAAGGGCATGCAGATGTGTAGGGTGACTTGATAAATCTCATTTTATGGGTAAAGAAACTGTGTTTCAAGGAATCTTGCCTAGGGTCCTGGGTGAGCTGGCCTTGGACCTTCACTACCCCCTTAATTGCACCCTGCTATGGGGAAGGGAGTTCAGTGCATATTCTGTAGAGCCAATATGTGGCATGTGATTTCTTGCTCAGATACTTATTTATTAGAAGACATGTAAGGTGGGCAACATGGTTGTCATCAGAATTCTAATGCCCCCAGTTTCTCAGATCTGAAGACAAACTTTAAGATAAGCTGTTCAGAGAATTTGGGACTCGAAGTGTGTTAATCAACCAAAACAACAACAAAACGATAAAAAACAAACAAAACAAAACCCACCCAACCAACCAACCAAAAAACAAAACACGTCTTTGAGAATTTTACACATGTGCGTGGTGATGAAATACCACATACACTCTAGTCCCTTTTTTAAGTCTTCCGTCTTTCCCTATTGTCCCTCATACCACCCTCTGATAATCCATTAAGTCCAATTACTGAGATATGTAGCTGGGTGTGAGGCCACCCACTCGAGCACTGGAAACCTCCCAAGTGGTCGCACCCTTCAGCTCTTACATTCTCTGTCTCTCTTGCTGGTTCTTTGCTGCTGCCAGGCTGTTTGTTTGAGTTGAGCATGTCTACAAGTTTACAAGGGCATGAGGTTATGTGCTTTTTACTTACGGACCAAGGCTAATTGATAATCACACTGCCGTCTATCTTGTAGCCTTCTATTAACTAAATTATTAAGCTAATTCATTGTCATAAGGGCCATTTGAGGTGGATGTTTCTCTTTTACATGTGAGAAAACTGAGGTTTAGAGAAGTGAAAGAAATCTGGATTCTTTTAAAATGTGATTTTATTTGAAATAGAATCACACTACTCCCCATCTTATTTTCCCCCTCCAGTCCCTCCTGGCTACGTCTCACAAACCCCTCTCATGTCCCTCTCTCAAGTTTATAGTCTCTTATGTTTTGTTTACTATTGTTACACGTGTTCTCTCTCTCTCTCTCTCTCACACACACACACACACACACTCAGGAAACATAGGATTTTAACCCAGGTTTTCTAACTTGGGAATTCTTTGTCCTGAACTATGTCATATCCACATTATACATGCTAGTCACACAGGTAGAAATACAGAGCTGTTAAAAAAGAGGTACCTCTCAGACTCCGGAATTTACTGACATCAGAGCTGGAGGGACCTTGAAGAACTCAGAGTGCTGATGGTTTTTAAGCCTTGGAAGCGGAAGCTGCAGTCTGGTCTTGGAGTTGGGGTGCCAGCAAAGTGAGAAATGGAGCGGGAGGGAGGCTTGAAGCCTGCTGCTAGCTCTGATTTCCCTCACTTTAAAAACTAAACATCTCACAGTATTCACTTAAAGGAAAAAATTGTGCTGAGAGATGAAAGGTTGAAAATCACTGTGGTAGCCTAACAACTCTTTATGAGGGCTACATGACAAAGTGGTTTAGCATAGCTACTAGCTGTGATGTTCCCAGGGCAGAGACACCCAGCTCTGCATGTCCTTGACTCCCTGACACTCAGTTGAAAGCATTTTTCTGAACTCACATTTCCATCTTGGTGGGATGTGGCTGTTTTCCTTTTTCAAGGAAGTATTTGATCTGCCTCGCTCCCTCTGAGGCCCTAGGAACAGCAGCTGGACGGTCAGGGTCACTCAGTCCTGTGTGGCTGCAGAGCCCTCCAGCTGCCCTGAGTACAGCAACCTGGAAATCTGTCTTCCCCTTTGACCTTGGCCATCTTGCTTTGACTGGTTTAATTTCTGTCTAGGAAAAAGAGAACTGTTATGGCCCATATTATATTACCTTCCTGACCCAGGCTTCTATGGCAATGCCTGTTTAAACACACAGACATCGAGTGCTCACTGTGTGAAAGGCACCTGGCAACGGGACTGTGATTGTCAAGTGCTTTTGGAGACAGTTATGCTATATGTGACTGAATGTTAGTTATAACTACATGTTAGTTATAACTACATGTTACTTATAGGGAGCATATTTCATCGCATAGAAGTGACATGGTTAGAGAGTCGGCAGTGGGGGAGAAGAGGGACAGAGTCCTTCTGGAATTGCTAGGGGTCTTGTTTGTACTGTGAATGTGTTCGTTGGCATCTTTCATTTGCCATCTCTGTGATTTAAATGTGATTTATCTTTACCACTGATATCCTCTCTAACCCGGGAAGAGAGTGCCTAGCTCCTAGGGTTACTAATGCTATTAGATAATACATAACACACAAATCTTACGTATGAGGAAAACCGCAGCACAGTTGCAGGCATATAGCAAATCTTTATCACATCACAGTCAGTACTGATAGTATTTCTCAGTGAGGGATCTTAGCAGTGGTGTGATCAGGGCTTTGCTTCTCTATAACCACACAAGCAAAGCCAACCCCCACTCTTCTAGCTCAGAATGGTTGGATTTCATCATTGCTCTGAGCTGCCTCTGTTTAAAGCCACCTGTGTGGTACCCCTCAGCAGTAAGTGAGTGGCCTGTATGTCGTACACACTGACTCTAGTTGACTGCTGTTTCCTAACATATCATCTTGCTGCCTATATTGGAATCTTTCTTTTTGTCACAATTTCCTTTGCACCTTCATGACTGTTGTCTGCAGTTACTGCGTTACTACCTGACTGCAAGTTCTAACCCAGCTGCTGGGAAGGAATCAAAGAACCCTAGCCTGCCCTCCATGGTGCCTTCTTTCTAGCAGGGGAAGACAGGTGACATAGTGCTAGCCAGGAAATGAGCAGCATCGAGCTGTTTCCTCACCAGTGTAGGGATAAATTTCCAGGGAGCGTATGGTCCCTCCATAAACAGCATTGAATACTTGATTCGTTGCAGGATCTGAAGAGAACCTTGGCAGCTAGAGTGTTGGAAGAGGCTTGAAAAGAGGGCAGCTCAGGGTCTGCGCCCTAAGAGCTGCTTGGGACACTTCTTAAGGCTGGTCTCCATCAAGAAGGCTGGTACGTACAGGGACCCAATGTGTTGGCTCACCCTGGTGCTGGCTGCGTGCCAGACTCAGGTGGAGGCTTTGTGAGGTGGGCCGGAGGGGTTAACTGGTTGGAGATCCTTACTCTTCTGGTATCTGCAACTTGAACTATCTTGTGCCCTTGATTAATTCATGCGTGGACGCCTCCCCAGTGCTCTTTCGTAAATAGCTCCTTACTGTACGTTTATTTCCCCATGGGCTGATTGCAGTGAGACTGGAGCCTGTGTTTCTAACAACCACTCCAAGGAAAACATCAAAGGCCACATTTCCGGAACCGAGACTCTCAGGGGTCTTCCAGGCGTCCATCTCTTTTAGCTCCTCTTCCCCCAGCATTTGCTTTTAGCTGAACAGGGCGATTTTGTCTTGAGCTGCCCTGCAGACACGTGGAACTTGGAATCTGAGACCCTGACAGCTGCTGCTGAGCTTTGAGCTGCAAGTGTGAGGAGCATATAACCCAGCCTGTAGAACACGACATCAGCCTCCCTTAATTCCCAGGGCCTCACGTTTCTTTGTCTTATGAATGACCTCACTGCTTTGTGTGTTTGTAGTGGAATGCACAGTCATTTACAAGTAATCACACAATAATCCCTCGCACTCTTAGATTGCCTTGCTCTTCTCCAGAGGGCTTTCCTTCTTATTATCTCACTTGATCCTTGTAACTGCGCCGAGGCACTGCTTTAATCTCTGACTTTCAGGTGTAGAAACCTAGGCTTAGAGACGTAGAGGCATTATAGTGAGCCGGGGGTCACAGGATGAGTTTAGAGCCGAGCCACACCTGGAGTCAGGTGCTCAGGTCCCTTTGTCTTCTCTCCTGCTGTGGCCTTGGGAATCAGTGTGACATCTCCCAGCCTCTGTCTTCCTTGGGGCGCACTGGGCACGTGTTAGCCCCAAAGGCAGTTGTGAGTAGAGGTTAGACGAGACTTCCCGAGGTGGCATTTCTGTATGCTGGAGCACACCAGTAATGTGGATCACTGCTGTTTTGACCATGGGGACCTCGGATTTTGGTAGTGCAGTCGAACCAAAGATGAAGAGAACATACGCCCCTTCCACCCTACCAAACATCCTTGAGGTACTCCGACCCTGGGGTGAGCACAGTGACCTCGCTGCCATGTGTTATTGTTCTGAATTGTGCTGACCTCTATTCCTGCTGAACTCAGTGTTCTTTGTTAGAGCTTCTGACGTGCATGCATGAGTGTCTGTGTGTCTGCGTGTGCATGTTTTGGGGTCTGGCAGAACTGGGTTCCAGTACTGAGGAATGGGATCTGCGTCACAGACTTCATCTATGAGGGATGGGCACGGAGCAAGACTGGATGGAGACCTACCCTTGAATTTTTTGTGTTGAACTAAAGAAGTCCATTCCCTGGGCCTGGTAGTGCATTGCAGGCCTGTAAGCCCAGGTACTCTGGAGGCTATAGCAGGTGGATTTCAATTTTGAGGTTTAGCTGGGGTATAAAAGTGAGTGCAAGATCACCTGAGCCTCTTGTTACAAAATAGAAAGTAAAACGCGGAAAGAAGGGTGGACATTCAGCTCAGTGGTAGAGCTCAGTCTCTCTCATCTCTCTCAAACACACACACACACACACACACACACACACACACACACGTTGGGGGAGGATAGTTTTGTAGGGTACTTCTGAGTTCACAGGAAAGCAGTCTACATGTTGAATATTTAGCTTTTACATGTTGGGAAACCCACAAAAGAATGGATTTCACATTGCTAACAGTTGTGTGAACAGTCAGCAGTGTGATGTGGTCAGAAGACCAGCAGGACTGCTTGTGGACTGATGTCTTGGATAGCTTTGTTTCCATATACATAGTTACCTACAAGAATTCCAACCCTCTGAGATAAGCATTAGTTGACATATGGTCCTAAGGAGTAGAGCAGGGGCAGGAGGTTAAAGGCCAGGGAGTCAGATTTTGGCTCCATATAAGGAAGAACTTTCTTTGCAAAGATGGAATTAACAGCTGTAGGAAATATGATCTCTGTCTCATGGGAGACAGTGGGGATGCTAAGGGGGATTCAGGAACACTCGGGCATGTTGGGTCAGAGGTGTTTCGTGGCTGAGCGCAAGAGAGGAGACACACAGGAAAAGAATGAAATACCCTTTTGCTGACAAGGAACTCAACCCCTACATGTTTGCAAAGTGGAGGGTAAATGTGAGTCATTTGTTCTGACTTTCATATTTAGCCTGATGCTTCACTGCTGGGACCTTGGTTTTGGAAGTTCCCATCCCGTTCCTTGGTAGTATTTTCAGTGGAACAAACATTTTATTTCTTTGCTGATGCTGCTGTTGATATATCACCCAGATACAGTGCTCTCAACAAGAGTGAGGACCACCCCTTCCCTCTCCACCCGCCAGCTAGACGCCAGGGGTGCTGCATTGTGGGACTCGAGTACTCAGGTCTGCGGCTGCTGTATGGCAGCAGGTTCTTTGATCCAATTGTCTTGTTTACTTTCAGGATGACTTATCTTCGAGTTCATGTGCTTACCGAAATATAGACACATGATCAAAATAAGCATGGAGGGTCCATCTGGACCGAAGAACTGGAAACTGCTTCTTGAGTACATAGCGGATGATTCGAGGCTAGCTGCTTGACTTTTGGATAAGGAAATGTGAGCCCTGATAGAGCTGATTTGCACAGCATCATACAACTGTTCTGGGCTTAGGACTTGTGCACCATTTCTTTGCCTGGGGCTGTTTGTGACTTGACAACTCCTTGGGGTCAGAAGAAGCAGCCTAACAGTGCAGTCCCAACAGCCAGAAATTTGTTTATAATTTGGAAAAGGACTTACCTCACCTCTGAATAGCTTAATAATCAACAGTAGAGTAGGTTCATACTAAGACATGGGGCCCCCGGAAGCCAAAGATATGGTAGTTGGGGGTCACATCTCTGAGCACTCAACAAATCTCCTATGTGTCCTTTCATTCTTTCTCCTTTGATTTGGGCCTTAGTCAATTTGACTAGATTTATTCCTGTTTAGCTTCACGGTCCAACGTGGTCCTCAAACATTTCACAGATTTGCACTGTCTGATTTGCCTTCCCTCTCCTGACAACCATGCCCTGCCAACAGTCCAGCTTGACTGTGTGTCTATGATCCTGATGTCTGTCTCATCATAATAATTCATGCTCTCTGCTTCTGGGATACCTCACTCAGGATGATCTATTCCAGTTCCCACCATTTGCCTGCAAATTTCATGATTTCCTTGTTTTTTTATTGCTGAGAAATATTCCATTGTGTAGATGTACCACAATTTCTGTATCCATTCCTCAACTGAGGGGCATCTGGGTTGCTTCCCTCTTCTGACTATTACAAATAAAGCTGCTACAAACATGGTTGAGCAAATGTCAGTGTTGTATACTTGAGGATCTTTTAGATATATGCCTAGGAGTGGTATAGCTGGATCTTGAGGTAACACTATTCCTAATTGTCTGAGAAAGTGCCAGATTGATTTTCAAAGTAGTTGTACAAGTAGGATAAACATACTAAAATCTGTACACCTAAGGAAACTAACCAAGAAGGAGGACTCTGGCTAAGATCCTCAATCCTCATTCAGAAAGGCAAAGAGGATGGACATCAGAAGAGGGAGAAAACAGGGAACTGGACAGGAGCCTACCACAGAGGACCTCTGAAAGACTCTACCCAGCAGTGTATCAAAACATATCAAAAGTGTATCATATTTATCAAAAAATAAAAATAAAAACAAAAACAAAAAATATGCTAAGACTCATAACCAAACTTTGGGCAAAGTTCAGGGAATCTTATGAAAGAAGTGGGAAATAGTAAGATCTGGAAAGGACAGGAGCTCCATGAGGAGAGCAACAGAACCAAAAAATCTGGGCACAGGGGTCTTTTCTGAGACTAATACTCCAACCAAGGACCATGCATGGAGATAACCTAGAACCCCTGCACAGGTGTAGCCCATGACAGCTCGGTCTCCAAGTGGGTTCCCTAGTAATGGGAACAGGGATTGTCTCTGACATGAACTGATTGGCCTTCTCTTTGGTCACCTTCCCCCCAGGGGGGAGCAGACTTACCAGGCCACAGAGGAAGACAATGCTGCCAGTCCTGATGAGACCTGATAGACTGGGATCAGAAGGAAGAAAAGGAAGACCTCCCCTATCAGTGGACTGGGAGAGGGGCATAGGTGGAGAAGAGGGAGGGGGGTGGGATTAGGAGGGGAGTAGGGAGGGGGCTATAGGTGGGATACAAAGTGAATAAACTCTAATTAATAAAAATTAAAAAAAATCAGAAAAAAAAAGAATTCATGTTAAACCAAGTGTCCAGGAAGCTCCCCAGCCCAAAGGTCTGAGAAGAGTTAGTCCATGGTCTGTGTAACTTCATCTCCATTCCTGGATCCCATCACAGGTGCATCACTGAAAATGTCACGTTTTGTGAACTTAAGAAAAGTGCCATGTGTAAGGTATTGGTTGATTCCTTCCTCACTTTAAGTTGAACACGTTCATCGTCTGGGTTCATTGTGCACAGTGTTGTGCTGTGTTAGGGCACTTTGACATAGGTATTCTCCCTTTCCTCCCTCTCCTTTCTCCCCTTTCCCACCTGTGGTTAGTTGCTATCACGCTAGACAGTTTTCTCTACTTTCATGTCGTATATACATAGATGATTTTATGTATCTATGTAGCATCTATAGCACAAATGAGAGCAAATATCCAATATATTCTGGCATAATTCACATAATTAACTGTCCCTAGGTGCATCTGTTTTTCTGAAGATGGCATAATTTTATTTATTTTGTGAATGCAAAAAACCCTATCATGCATATAGACTACATTTCCTTTATCTATGCCTGTGTGTTCCATTTCTGAATTATTGTGAATGTTGCTGTTGGTGTTGGAGTATCTCTCTGACACCTTGACGGGAAGCCCTTTTTTGGTAAGTACTGAGGAGGACGGCTTGATCATGTGGTGATTGTAAAATTAGCTTTTTGAGGGGCTTCTATCCTGATTTTCATAGTGGCTGGGCCAGTTTTCGTCCCACCCAAAGTGTGTAAAAGTGTTTTTTGTTTTTTTTTAATTTTGTCCACATTCTTGCCAGCAGTCATTGATAACTGCCTGACGTACCGACTGGAATGAGAAGGACTCTCAGGGCAGTTTTCACGTACATCTCTCTGATGGTTAGCGATTCAACAACATCTCAGGTTTATTGGCCTTGTCTTTTATCTTTTGAAGACTATTTCTTCAGCTCATCTATTAGCTGGGCTGTTTAATTTTGTGTTGCTTACTTTGTTGAGTTCTTGGTTTATTCTAGGCCTTGACCTTCTATCAGACGAACAACTATGGAAGATTTTCTTCTCCTACGTCTGTAGGTGGTTTGGACAGCCCCATCCTAAGGCGGACTTTATAAAAGCTTTCAAACCAGCCACTTCCCTGCTGGGCTGAGAGGCTGTTTCCTGGAGCAGGAGCACATGTTTGTGTGTGTGTGTGTGTGTGTGTGTGTGTGTGTGTGTGTGTGTGTGT